ACACACACACACACACACACACACACACACACACACACACACACACATATTTTAAAGTATAATGACAATTATATTGTTTCTTGTTTGTTTGCCTGCTTTTTTCCTTTTTGAGACTGGATCTGTAGCCTAGGCTGGCCTCAAACTCCCTATGCAGCTAAGGGTAACCCTGAACTTCTGATCTTCCTGCTTCCCCCACCCAATGCTATGACTAGAAGTCTATGTCTTCACGCCCAGTTCCATGGGGTGGTGAGAGTCGACCTAGGGCTTCATTTAAATTAGGCAAGCACTTCTCCAACGAGATACATTCTCCAGCCCTGGCAACTGTTCTGCTTACTGCAGAAGCACACAGTAGAAAAATGATAATGCACAGCATTAACAAAGAGGAAAACAACCCACAACACCATGACTCAGAGGTAATTATCGACAGACAGCCTCCTACAGCTCTCTGCGCACATACATATTTTAAGATCAAGGTGGAGCTCACTTCATCTTCTAAATTGCTCTTTAAACATCATAAACATCTTTCTACATTAAATATTCATCAATACTATTTTTAACAAAATAAATCACTTCGTTTCCAACTGTAGAGCATTTCTGGTTTCCCTTTTTTTTTACGTTACTGCAAATACAATGCATACCTAAGACTTATACTTTCTTAATTATTTCTTTAGAAAAACTGTCAAGATGTGCAACTGCTGAGTCTACCAGTGGGGACTCTTCTGGGTCCTTGCACACCTTCCCCTGCCCTCCCCACTGCCTCTCACCTGTCAATCAACGCTCTCCTCATGGCTTCCTGGCTGTATGGGCACTTCCCAATGACCACCGCTGACAGGTAGATGGGCTTCTCCAGGAAATGCATTAGCAGTGCACCCTGGCATCCAAGGACATTCCACCTTGCTATCTTGTCACTGCAGGACATGGAGCATGTCCTATCTCCCCTGCCGGGCTTAACTCGAAGCAGCCCCACTTGGTGGTAGGCAGCGCCTGGCTGTCTCAAGTCTCCAGTTTCTCCAGGAACACACTTGGCTCCCGTTCTATATACATCCACCACCTTGAAGCTACCTGGAGCTATTCCATTGACAGCATCCATTTTTTCCTTGGTGAGATCAGAGCTGCTGACATCTGGTTTGACTGGACTGCTTTCCTGTGTCCCACGGTGAGCTACACAATTGGAGAGTGACCTGGCAGGTGTTCCGGGCCTCATTTTCTTGGCTGCAGGACTCTCAGGGTCTTCACAACTTCTTTTATTTTTAGAATCCCCTAGATTATCACTCCCTTTTACAGGTGAGTTGTTGGCCCAATTTCTGATGACAGGACAGCAAGGTTGTTCTTCAAACTCAAGCATTGGAATGATGGAGGCATCCCCACCTGCACGAGAAGAAACCCCTTATCCAAGAATTCTCAGGATGAGTCTCCCAGACCAGTGACACTGATGTCCCTTAGGAATTAGAAATACAAATTGTGAGGCTGGAGAGCAGTGGTAGAGTGATAGCCTAGCATAAAGGAGATCCCAATTTCAATCCCCCAACACTGTGTGTGTGTGTGTGTGTGTATATGTGTGTGTGTGTGTGTGTGTGTGTGTGTAGTGAATTACTGGGATCTAATATACATGCTGAATCAGAAACTCTGAAGGTGGAGCCCAGAAGTCTGTTGTAATAAGCTGAGTAGACCATTCTGATGGAAGCTTAAGGAATCATGGCCATTGAACCAAAGTCAATTTGTTTTCCCTGCTGAGCTGAGGGGGAGGAAGAGGTGGGCAGGTGGTAAAGAGGTAGGCAGTTGGCAGAGCACAGGCCTAATGAGCAGAAGGCCTGCTCTTGTTGCATCCACCATGAAAAGAGGAAGAAACACAAAACCAAACCACGTGTGCACACGCACGTATGCACATGTGTGGGTCAGAGGACAACTGCAGGTGTGCAGGTGTCAGTCCTCACCTCTCGCTTTGTTTGAGAGAAGAGCTTGTTCCCTGCTGCAGATGTCCCAGGAATGCTGGGACATGTTACAGACATGTGCTAGTGTGCCTGGCCTTACGTGGGTTCTAGGGATTCAAACTCAGGCTCGGTGCTTGATGACAAGCACTTTACACACGGAGACCTCCACAGACACCCTTCTTTCCTCAATAATAAATTAATATTAGGGCTGGAGAGATGGCTCAGGGGTTAAGAGTGCTTGCTGTTCGCCTATGGGCCCAGGTTGGGTTCCCAGCACCCACGTTGAGGGGGTTCATAACTTCCTGTAATTCCAGTTCCAGGCGGCCTGATGCCCTCAGGTCTTTGCTGGCACTTGTATGCAAATGGTCCACATAAGCACACACATGCTCATGACATCAGGAACAATAAGCAAGCATAACGATAAGCAAATAAATCTTTTTATAAACTAACTATATATACACATATAAATAAACAAACAAACAAGAAACACTGCATGTACTAAAGTCTTAATAAAAATCTCTGAATTCTTGATGAAGGCTCTCTCCTAGATCCTGCAAGTCAAAACTTCTCCATGAGAGACTTATGGGAAACTGAATATTTAAACAAAGGTCTCAAGTAATTTCTACCACAGGGAAGGTTTGGACCAGAGTGTCTCAAGGACATTACTCAGGACATTTGTTTGTTTTCTTTTTTGAGATAAAGGCCTTTTGTAACTCAGACTGGCCTTAATTCCCTATTAGCTGTAGGTGCCCTTGAATTCCTAAACCGCTTGCCCCTGCCTCTTCTGTGCTGGGATCGGTAGGGTGTCACCACGCCTAGGCTGAAGGAAACTGTGAGTAATGGAGGTGCTCCTGTATGTTAGCCATTAGACAGCCTCTATCCATTAGATGCTGATAGTCCCCCAGTCTGATAATCAAAAGATTTTCCAGAGCCAGCCTGGTTGATACACATGTAATTCCAACACTTAGGAGGCAGAAGCAGAGTTGTGAGGATAAGAACATCTTAGACTACACAGCCACTGTCACACACACACACACACACACACACACACACACACACACACACGCACACACACGTCTCTAGATGTTGCCAAGTATCTTTTGGAGAAAGTATCCTGAGCTGAGAACTACAGCTTTAAGGGTAGTCTTAAGGGGTGCGGGTAGGGGTGAGGGAAGGGGGAGACATTTTAAAAAAGTGTGTGTGTATGTGTGTCTCACATGTGTGCAGGTACCTGCTGAGGCCAGAAGTGGGACTTGAATCCCATGAAACTGGACACACAGGCAGTTGTGGGCTGTGCAACATGGGTGTTGGGAACTGAACTCGTTCTCTAGAAGAACAGTGTCCTTAACCACTGAGCAACCTCGACTGCTTTAGGGAAAGACTTTTGTTTTGCGATGCTGGAGATCACAACTGAGTCTTGTGGATACTGGGCAAGCACTCTGCCACCGAGTTAAACCCCCAAGCCTGATGACTACTGATTTACAATGAGCAAGGTTTCCCAAGGGCATTTTTTGGACTGGGAGCCTGTAAGATGCCTTGGGAAACAGTAGAGGCTTATTTCATGGTTGAGCAAATTTGATGAACATTATTCAAAATACCATCTTGATATTATGATGTGTATTCATCAGAAAAGACCCACAATAAACTGCAAAGTCAAGTCTACACCAGTGTTTCTGAAAGCTGCAGTGTTTCCCTGTGCTGGTTTACAGATTTTTCATCTGTTCTGTGCCCACAAAAAACAAAGAAAACCTGAGGTCGGGAGAAAGCACAGCACTCCCTTGAGAAGGGAGCTATTTCTACAAACGCCAACCTAATGGGAAAAGTACTCTAGCAGTCTTTATAAGCCGAGAGTGGCAAAGGCAAGAGAGATACCGAAGGAGAAATGTCAGGACGATTTCTGGCTGGCTGACTTCCAGGGACCTGGCAAGGTGACCGCCACTCTGGAGAACTCATGGGGTCCACCTCCTACTCTGTACACTCAGAGATGTGATTGTGACAGAATGCCTGGATACAGAGACTGACTCACACTAACAGAACACAAAAGCAGGAGTCTAATGTAGCTAACCAAGACACCAAATTATTAATTAGTAACGAGAAGTAAATGTCAAGGCAGCCAGGGAGTCACATTTGCTAGGCAGTGTGCTTCCTTTTTGCAGCCAAACCATGGGTGGGGGAGCACCACAATGGAAGAGATTACTCATGAACCAAGGGGGTTATATCAGTGGTTGAAGATTTTTTTTCCAGCAAAACAGTTTCCAGAGTTTTAAAGATCAACAAGGGCTGCCAATTTCTTACTTAAGATCTTAAAAACAAGCCAAACCAAAATCCAATTACCACAATTAACAAAAGGAAGAGAGAACCTAACCCACGCCACAGCTATTGTTTCTCCCGCTTGCTTCTCAGCACACTGTCGCCATTCCTCCAGGGCCCTGAGGAGAAACCTGGAAGTCATCTTTGCCTCTTCCCCCTTCTTCACATACAATCATGGCGTCTGAGCCACTGTCCTAAATCTCTCTTGCACTTATTCGGTTGTCTACCTCTCACTAATGACCTCTGCCCTCCTCAAACCACCACACTCTCAGTTAAGAACAGAAGACTGTCACGGCCTTTACTTTTGAAATACCTACTAGACAGTCTTGAGTTTTCTTGCTTTGTACAGATGCTCACAGAGCAGTGTGTCCGAGCATGCTGGTCTGTGTAGTTTGTAAGCAGGCTGACATCCTGGATAGATCCCCCGGGTCTGTCCTCACGCTAAGCAAGCATCACCACTGCGTTCTCTCCCCAGACCCTTGTTTACTGCTTTCTACTTAGTATCCCTCTGTGTCTGAGTAATGGAGAATACCGGTTCATGACAGGTATGGTGGCACACTCCCGTAACTTCAGTTCAAGGGAAGGCGGACTGAAAGCAGGACTGCCTCAAAAATACAAAGACACTGGCTGTGTGGAGCACACCTGCCTTCCCAGCCCTCAGGAGACAAGACGCAGGAAGATAGCTGAAGTTCAAGGCCAACATGGGCCTACATATTGAGATCAAGGCCAGCCAGGACAACTTAACATAAAACCTGTCTCATGCCAGTGAGATGGCTCAGTATGTACAGGTGCTTGCTGCAAGCCTGATGAACTGCGTCCTATCTTCAGAGCCCACTTAGTAGAAGCAGAGAATTAATTACTACAAGTTGTCTGACTTCCATGTACATACAGTGGCGTATGCGCCCCCACGCACAAGTCTTTTTAAATATATAAATTAAAAAAAAAAAAAAAAAACTTGTCTCAAAAAAAAAAAAAAGAGAAAAATATCTATTTGTTTAATGAAGAGATGAATGAATGAAATGAGCTTTAGGATAAGTTACTGTAGTAATACTTTAGGCTTTTGAACCCCAGTAACTCTATTATACTTTGTAGGGGTGCAGCTTGAAGCTGCCCTGTCCTGACTTTGAGAACTAACAGTCTGAGAACGCCACACTGCCCCATTTCTGCCTTCTGCTTTCCCTCAGTAGAAATGTAATTGTGTATATACATCACTGCCATTAGCTGTACCTTTGGGAGAAACATCCCCAAGAGCAAGGCAAGCATAGGGAGGAAGCCAGTGCAACGTTAGAAGGCTTGGCGATACTTACAGGGTGTGTGGCTAGAGAAAAACACAAAGGACAGGTCAGGTCTCAGCCTCCAACGTCCTCTCTGAGTTCCTGGAACAAAGATACTATCCTCTTGCAGGACAGCTGCCAAATGGAGCTGATGGAGAAGGTATCTGAGGGTTGAAGATATCAGAATGAACGAGCAGGCTGGGGGTGGCTCAGGGTGCCTTACCGGCATGCTGAGGGCCTGGCAGAGGCAACACCCTTGGCTTGATTCCCAGAACTACAGAATCAGTTAAGTGGAGGGAGAAAAAAAAGCATAAACAACACACCCCTGTGGTCAAGAGAGCTCCCTGGCTGGGTGACTGCAGAACACTGAGGCTGGCAGGGATCTGGCACTGTGAGAATGATGGCGGCGAGTCCTTCTCAAAGGTTGGGAAGACCTCAGGCCTTGCCCTGGATCTACTGAAGTCAGGATCCCTGGAGAGGCTAGCCATCTTCTCCACTCCTGTCCCTGTGCTGGGTTTGAACCCTGAGGCCTGATACACTAGTCATGTGCTCCATCACTACGTTTATACCCCAGACTCAGAAACTTGGGTGTTAGCAGGTGATTCTGAGGTCTGGACCCTGGTAATTCAGAGTGACATGATCTGCATTAGCTTCGAGCTTGTGAGAAATGCAACCCCTCACCCCCAAGACATGGTTAACCAAGACTGTTTGGGGAGTGCAGCTTTACCTCTGGAAGCTCCTTTTGGCTATGATCTCAGCGTGGCTGTCATTGAGGATGTCTCCTGTGGCAAAGACAGGAAGCAAATGAAGACATGAGATCTGGAGAGGTTGGCAGAGTACACAGCAGTGCCCGTGCCAGCACTCAGCATAGCCATGTTACCTCCTGGGGGGGGGGAGGGGGTTGTGAGAAAGTGTCACAGTCATTGGTGACAATGTACTTGCAGCTTGAGTTTCTCAACATATGTGGCCATAAAAGCCTTCGTATAGAAGGAAAGCCTTTAAATATAGGATGAAATGGGTGTGGTGGTACATGTCTTTTATCCCAGCACTTGGGAAGCAGAAGCTGGTAGCTCTCTGTGACTCTTGAGGCCAACCTGGTCTATACAGGGAGTTCTAGGCCAGCCAGGGCTATACAGAGAGACCCTGTCTCAAACAAACAAACAAGCAAACAAACAAAAATATATAGGATCCTTTACCCACCAGATGTCAAGAATACCCCTCCCCAAGTGCTGATGGCCAAAAATACTTCTGGACAATGCCAAAAAAGTACCGTGGGTACAAAATTGCCACTGGTTGCTGGGTCCATGGTGCTGGATGTAATCCCTGGCTTAGGCAGGGATACCATGAGTTTGAGGCCAATCTGAACAACACAGGAAGTTCTTGATAAGCCTGGGCTACATAGTAAGATCTTATTTCAAAATACTAAACAAACAAACAAATAAACCCACCCCAAATAAACCAAACCAAACAAAAACTACCTCTACTTGAGAACCACTGATTTATAGATCAAAATTTTCAAGTGCTTGAGGACTGAGTCTAAGGTCTTATGCAGCTAGGCAAGTGCACTGCCCCTGAGCTATGTCCCCAGATTCTTTACATTTTTGTAAAGATATCTATAAGATATTACATGTAAATAATACAGTAATTCTACTTTCCTTATTTTGTATGTATGTGCCATGATCTGTGTGCAGATGATATAATATGCATGCAGAGGTCGGAGGACAGGTCTAAGCAGTTGGTTTTCTCCTTCTACCACATGGATTCTGGGGATTAAAGTTACCTTGTGGCCTGGTAGCAGACAGGGTTTCACCGTGAAGCTCTGGCTGGCCTGGGGCTCACTAGAACTCCACAGAAATCCACCAGTCTCTGCTTCCTGAGTATTAGGCTTACTGGCATGTGCCAGCACCCCTGACACTTTATTTATTTATTTATTTATTTATTTGACATGGGGTTTCACTCTGCTGGTTAAGCACTTCTTCAAGTCCACCTTCAGCACAAGCAGGCCTTGAAATTTAGATCCTCCTGCCTCATCTTTCCAAGTCACTTGTGCCATCTGGCTAGAGAAATCTTGTATCTCTAAATCAGGGATAGAGATCTCTTATACCATGGTGTCATTTTCACGCTCACAATGACACATTTCTGTAGTGGGCCTGAGCTCTTTCTCTCATACACAGAAGACATGGCTAGGGGAACAGAAGGGACTTCCACATTCTTGTTGATGCCAAGGGTTTGTTTAATTCAAGACTGCTTTCTGGGACTCCAGAAGCCACTCTGGCTGCTTTCTCCACCTACTAGTAAGCCTGGACGCCTTCCCCACACAACTCGGAACCTTTGATTTAATCCTGAATGTACTGACTGAGTTTTAGAAGCATGTTCCTGGTAAATTTTGCTCTGCTTCGGATTTATTCTTTTCTTTTATTCCCTTGAGCCACGGAGTATTTATTACGCTGGTCTTGGTGTTCTTGCCACAGCCCCTGGAGTGTTGGGATTACAGGCACACACCACCATGTTCGGCTCTAAATTCGCATTAAAAAAACAAAAAACAGTCTCCCAAGGTGGGGGTGGGGGTGAGGAGGGCTGGAATCAGTAGTAATCAAGGGGGTCAGGCACTCCAACCAGCATGGCCTCTTTTCTTTGACAAGGAGACTACAGGTCAGCATGGGCTTGAACAGAGACAGCAACTGTTTGAAGCCCCATCTTTGCTTACCGCTCTTCCTCATCTTGGACTGGCCGATGCACTTTGTTCCTGTTCCCAATGAGACCACTTCCTTTGTCACTGAGAGAAAAACAAACAAACAAACAAACAAACAAACCCAAATCATTAAGAAAGTGAACCCTCAGAGGCTTCGCTTCCTCGTGTTCAGGTTTAATAAGTCCACATTTCTCTGTTCTCAGGGGGGTTCCCACGGGTGGACTCGCCAGGACCGCAGTACTCTTGGGGTGGTTTGCCGCCACCAGAAGTACTGCGCCACCTGGTGGAGAGCATGGGAAAACAGAAACGCTGCAGCTCACATCCAGCCCGGCTCTGGACAGCAGGTCCGCTCACAAAGAGAAAGTCTCACCTGGCACTTGCTTCTCAGTGCTATCCCAGGCTTGGTCAGCTGGAGACTGTATCTTCACCACGGCTGCCAACAAAGTCCACTCACGGTTTGGCTCAGGCTTCCCCTGCTTGGGCAGTTTGACATTATAGTGTGCATAGCACAGCTGAGCAATCTCATCTGGGGTCCACATGGGTGGAGCTGGAGCTGAGGCCCTGACAAAAAGCCAAACCATTAGAAAGCAAGCTTAAGACCACAGAGCAGAGACGCACTGTGGTGCTTCAGCAGTCTCTAAAGTAGCCCAACAATGCTCAGACTAAGGTTCGTGTTTTCCTGCTAATCAACCTCCGCTCCCGTCTCTAATAAAGCGTGAAGCCACCAATTCCACAAGTTATTTCTTCAAGCTTAAAATTTATAAACTTATAATAGCTTGTAATTTCTTCAGAAATTTATAAGCTAACGAATGTGGATTTATTTTGTTTTATACCGTCCTTTTCAGATTTCAGCTTGCTTTGGGCAGATCGTCACCCTACAAGGTTTCTTTCTGGATAGATGTTCTTATTTTGTCCTCCTTTTTCCCAACAGAAGAGTAAATCTGCCTCACTCTAGCAAATTTCCAAAGTCTCTCACTGAATGGTTTTCTACCAGTTGTGCTTAAGGGTGTGGGCATGGTGTTGTACTTTCTAGGTTTCAATTCCAGCTTTATCACGGATTAACTGTGTGATTATTGGGTAGATTATTTTAGTTTTCACATCTGTTAAAACATGAATAGTATTTAACATTATTTTTTCTTTTTGCTTTTTTTTCGAGACAGGGTTTCTCTGTGTAACAGCCCTGGCTGGAACTTGACCTGTAGACCACTGTGGCTTTGAACTCAGAGATCCACTTGCCTCTGCCTCCTAAGTGTTGAGATTAAAGGCATGTGTCACCACTGTCTGGCTAGCATTAACATACTTTGACTTCATGTGATTATATGAGCTCATACAATGGCTAGACACAGCGGAGCATTTGTAGAAAAACAACCAAATAGTTTTTACTGAGGTCAGAGGTGATGTTTCGGCAAGGTATTTCTAAGACTTGTGCAAAATACAGGCTCCTTTTTGCAGTAAATGGTAATGATTATTCTGGCAGGGACTGACAGAGCCTGTTACATTGAAGTGTAAGGCCTTCGAGAAGTCTTGTATTTCTAGGAGCACGGGTGATCCTAGAACCCTGTTAGTTCCAGGAAGGTATCACAGTAAGTTTATTTTAAGGAGGTTGACACCTGCCATCAACCTGAAATTAAACTAGAGGTATATATTACAAACTACAAAAGCCAAGGGGACGAGGCAGCCCAAACTACATCACGTCAGCCGGGCAGCTGACTGAAGGACCACGCAGTTGCTGAGTGTTTCGATATTTAGGGTCCGCTGTAAGTCGTGTCTACAACCCCTAACGACCTCGGAGAACTCCTTCATTAGAAGAAGCTCACACATGCATTTGTGTGACCACAAATAAGAGTCGCAAAAAGCTGAAAACCCCACTTCTTTTCCTACCCCGATGTGGGGCTCCGCAGGGTTGGAGCGCCAGGCTGGGTCCCTCCCCGCGGGAGCAGTGAACACGGGTCCTCACTGCCTTCTCGCACACAAGGCCAGTTGTGTAGAGGTGGCCCTGAGACCCTGTTACCCCCGCGCCGCGCCCTCCACGCGATCCTGCTCTCTCGCCACGCTCGCCGCAGAGCCTGGTTGCGAGAGGAAGTGACGCGCTAAAGGGCAGCTTTGCGCAACTCCGCCCGCAAAGCACGCTGGTCCTTGTAGTCCTTGGGTGGGAGCGGAGCAGAGGCTACTCAGTTCTGCCTAGGAGGAAAGTGCCTGGCCAATGCAGAGGTTAAGGTTTCAAAACCGATTTAGCTTGCAATTCATCCGAACTTTTAACAGGACTATGAGCAGATCCTCTGACAGTTTCCCACCTCAGTCATCAGTGCATGACTGTCATGGACTTGGATGGCCAGGACCCTCCTCTCCAGGGCTAACAGACACCTTGTTAAATCTTCAAATGTACATACATGTATACATGTTTAAAAATATTTATGTGCATGTGTCAATTGTCCCTTATGCACCCACGTGCGTGCAAATGCCCAAGGCGGCTAGAAAAGGGTATTGCGGAACAGGATTACAGGTTGAAAGAGGCCTGACATGGGCGCTGTTCCCCTGGTCCTCTGTAAGGGCAGTAACCCCTTGCAGCCAGAACCCAGACTCCTCCTGCTCCTTGTCTATTGTATGTAAAATTGCACTGCAGGCTTCTTACTCAAATGCTTTGAGGTTTTTCTTAGTGTGTGCCTCCACCAAAAACAAACATGTACTTGATCTGATCTGGATCTCCCTGGAATTTTCACTCAAGCCCTTAAAAAAAAAAAAAGCCATAAAAGTAATTTCCATGGAAATAGTGATTTGGCTTTCGTTCCCCGATGTTTTCAGTATTTAGAACAATGACTGATTGTACAGACATGACTGCAGATGGTGCTGGAGAGTTGGCTCAGGAGTTAAGAGCACACCCTGCTCTTGTAGGGCTGCCTTTGGTTCTGAGCATCCATGTTGGGCAGCTTACAATTGCCTGTAACCCTGGTCACACAGGGCACCAGAGCTCCAATGCAAGTGCACGCACACACACACATAATTAATAATAAAGCAGAGGTGGTGGCACACATCTTTAATCCCAGCACTCTGGCAGAGGCAGGTGGATCTCTGTGAGCTCAAGGCCAGCTTGGTCTACAAAGGAAGTCCAGGGCACCCAGGGCTCTACACAGAGAAACCCTGTAAATAAACAAACAAATGTAATGACAGAAGTCTAAACATTCATTAGACCAACACTCTGGGAAAAAAATTGCACAGGTAAAGAGAGAAATGGTTTATTTGGTAACAAGGAATACAAAGATGCTCTTTAATTCTCTCTTGTGGTGGCCGGCCTGCAGTGGCCAGATGGACAGCACTACACTGAAGCCCTCAGACCAGAACTGCTGAAATTCGAAGAGCCAGAGTTTTATGTATCTTTTAGGCAGAGGGGCCAGCTGCTGTGCTTTCTGGTGTTTCAGTTGAAGTTTCCTTCTTGTCTTCAGGCTTCATGGCAGGAAACAGAAGTACTTCCTGTAGAAGAGCAAAGTATATTTTTGAAGTTAAGAAGCACCATGAGCAGGGCATATTGGCACTTGCCTTTAATCACAGCATTCAGGAGACAGGAGCAGGTGAATTCAAGGCCAGCCTGGTCTACATAGCGAGTTCGAGAACAACCAAAACACAGTGAGACCCTATCTTAAAAAAAAAAAAAAAAAAAGCAGTACAAATATTTTTACAGCTATCCTACTTACTGCTTTTGCCTCTATTGTTACTAACCAAATCCAGAAGTCAAGTGCACAGAACCTCCTAGGGTCCATGTCAAAACGAATCAACACAGGTTCTAATAGAGTTGAGTTTCAGGGGCTAGAGAGATGGTATACCAGTCAAGAGCACTTGCCATGGTCACTTAGAGACATGAGTAACTTGCTCAACCGGATCTGACAATCTCTTCTGGCCTCTGCAGGCACAAGGGATGTTTGTGTAAAACAGCCACATGTATAATTTTTAAAAAATTATTATTTTGTTTTAAAAGTGAACTTCTGCTGGGCAGTGGTGGCACACACCTTTAATTCCAGCATCAGGAGGCAGAGGCAGAGGGATCTCTGTGAGTTTGAGGCCAGCCTGGTCTATAGAATGAGTTCTAGGACAGCCAGGACTACACAGAGAAACCCTGTCTTGAAAAACAAAAACAAAAAAGCAAAACAAAACAAAAGTGAACTTCCTCGTAGGCACACATCAATACAATCCCAGTGCTTGTCGAGGTGGAGGCAGGAACCTCAGGAGTTCAAGGCCAATGTAAACTACAGGGTTCAGGCTGCATGAGAGCCTCTCTCAGAAACAGTAACAAAGCAACAAATGGATATCCTTCTCTATGTAATAAAAATAATAAAAACAGTTTTTACACCTTACAGAACTGACTGATATCAGGCAATACATGTAAGAGAGAGCTTAGCATTTCTCTGGGTATTAAAGTAAAGCAAATTGTCTCAAGTACAAACAACTAACCCCTGTAAGGTTAGCTAGCCCTCAGTCTTCTTCTGTACAGTGATATGGAACTCCTTCAGCCTGTTCTATGTGTTCCAGGGAAGCATGAACTGGGAGGTCTGTGCATACCTTAATATTGTTGGAATCTGTGAGAAACATGGTGAGTCGGTCGATCCCCATGCCCCAGCCCGCTGTCGGGGGCAGCCCATACTCCAGGGCAGTACAGAAGTTCTCATCTATGAACATGGCTTCATCATCGCCAGCAGCCTTCGCCTAGAATACATAGTCAAATGTAATGTTCTTCTAAGTCAGTGGTCCTCAACCTCCCTAATGCTGGGATCTTTTAATACAGTTCCTCAGGTTGTGGTGGTCCCACATGTAAGATTATCTCATTGATACTTCATCAGTAATTTCACTACTATTATGAATCATAATGTAAATATCTGATGACACCCCCGAAGTGGTCAAAACCCATAGGTTGAGAAGCACTGCTCTAGGTCATCTCAGTATCCACATGAACACATTAAAACGTTCAAAAGGGGTACCAAAAATGCTCCTGACCCACTGGAATTTGATTTCCCCGTTATTCTAAGATTTAGCCATTTCTTTCAGAGACCTGGAGGTTAGGACTGATGAAACCTACCTCAGAGATGATTGCATGCACTCGTAGTTCCAATACTTGGAAAGCTAAAGCACAAGGACTGCCAAGAGTAAAAGGCTAGCCTGGTCTCCATAACTAGTTTCAGGCCAGCCAGGGCTAAACAGTGAGATCTTGAGTCAACAGAAGCAGGTAGTCCTCATTGTTTTATACAAATAACAGAGTAATTCTTAAAAAGACAAAATCTGTCTCAGAACGTAGGCAAATTTCTCTGAAAAATGTTCCTCTGCTTGGGATTTGGGACTGTAAATAGACTAGTTCTCAGCTACTGTAGGTAGGCTGATACTAAAGACTCTTTCTCATTTCCTGAAAGCACCCATCAGTGTAGAGGCTGTAGCGACAGCCTTTGGGGGAGGGTACTGCCTTCCTTACAACTTCATATGCTGCTCATCCTCAAACTACCTCAACAAAGGTACAATTAGAACCTGTGTGGTGGTGCATTTGGGAGGCAGAGGCAGGGGCATCTCTCTGAGTTTCAAAACCAGCCAGGACTATCCAGAGAGATTCTGTTTCAAAAAACAAAGGAAAACAAGCTCCTGCCCCAGTAGAGGCGTACAGTTTAAGAAAAAGTCTATCTTTTTAAATGTATTTGCAAAAGGAGTGTTGTTCTCCATACAGGGGTCTTAAACTCATTTTACATTCAGCATAATGAAAGCCAGTCTCACTTCAGTATGTAATGTAGCCCCGTAAACCCAGCCCTTAGGGACAAGAGGACAGAACTGCAGAGACTGCCTCAAAGACAAAAAGAGGAGCTCCACTTTAAATGTGACTTCCTCCTAAGCCTCTTTATGGGGCTAGCTCGGTGGTTAGGAGATGCTCTTCCAAAAAACCCAAGTTCGATTCCCAGCATCCAAATGGTGGCTCACAACCATCTATAACTGCAGTTACTGGGGAGCAAGGCCCTTTTCTGCCCTCCTTGAGCACCGTGTGCAGGTGGTACACTAATACAAGTGCAGGCAAGAAGACCCATATACATAAAACAAAATTAGCAAGGGTAAAAAGCCTCCTTGGCTTTCGTTAGGTCACCAACAAAGTGTATACCAACATAGGCTAAGGAGGGCACATCCTGCTGAGCTCAGTGGTGGAACAGATGTCATTATTCATTCTCCTTCCTTACCTTGGCCTGTTCTTCAAACAGCTGTCGCTGCCGCATGGGATCATTCAGCTCGGTATAGGCATTGCATATTTCCTTCTTCATGACAAACAGCTCAAAGCGCTCAGTTAGACCCTCTTTGGAGCGATGCCTGGGAACGTGAGACCACAGAGGATGAATTCAGGGCTCTCCTGATAAAAATATACAACGGATTGATGCTCGGCACCAATCACTGCATCAGCGTGAAGGTGAGAGAGACTAGAAGACTTGATGATATTCCTAACAAGCAGTGGGATAGCCCAAGTCCATGCCCTGAGTTCCTCTCTGGGCTGCCCACTTGCTTTGGCCAAGGAGGTATCAGCAAAGGTCTGGTAGATATTCGTTAGCTGAGGTGTGTTCTTTAGGGATGCCTGCTTTGGGAACCCAACCACCATGCCGACAAAAGCCAGATTACTGCCAGAGAGATCAGGTGAAGAGGCCCCGACAGAATTCTAACCATATTAATACATGGTGCAGAAAGACCACCAAGTCAACACAGGACATCAAAACAAACTGTCCCTTAAACCATTAACTTTTTTTGGAGATAGAGTTTCTCTGTGCAGCCTTGGCTGTCCTGGACTCACTTTGTAGGCCAGGCTGACCTTGAACTCAGAGAGATCTGCCTGCCTCTGCCTCCCAGGATGCTGGGATTACAGACTTGCGCCACGGCACCCTGCTTGTTTTTGTTTTTTAAAAGCAGTACTAAAGACTGAACCTACAGTAGGGCCTAGATTTGTGTTAGGTAAATGTTCTACTACAGAGGTACAGCCACAGCAGCCACGGGTCCTATTCTAGCGGTTTTTATGCAGTAACAAATTGTGTCTTACCAT